GCGCCTGAATACATGCACTTACTCCTCCTGACTAATGGACCAAATTTCATACACAAGAGGACAGCGTTTAAATCCACTGTAGTGCATTATTTCACAGTATTCCCTGCCTCTTTGTATGTCCATCACAAGCTGAAACAGAGAAAAACTTTCCAAACTGAACACAAACCCAATAAATACTTTTAAACAAAAGAATATACATACAAAACACTTTTTTTTGTAAAATAAAATACTACAATAAAGCAATTAAGCAAGTATAAATAGTTTTTAAAATTACAATTCAATTATAATATTTTAAAAGGTATATATTTTTACTTTTAAAAATACACTATAATTATATACACAATAATATTGTATTATTTTCAGTATAGACTACAACTACATGAAACTCTTTTGGCTATTGCATCAGAACAGAAACCAAGACAAGATGACTGGAGCATGTTCACCACTGAAACCTCAGTCTGAAAAAATGAGGGCACGGTGATAAGGGTCAGTCTAGCTCTTCAGACCAACAGATAACCTGCGGGTTTTCTACATCACCTTTTCCAGATATGCTAATGTTACACTAGATGTTATATTTTCTACATGAGAGGCTGATAAGTTCAAAAATAAAGGTTTCGAGAAGTTTTTAAAAAAAAAAAAAAAGACGAACTGCACATGTGGCATCAGAGACTGTAGTTGGAGCCACTTTGCTTAAACACAGACATCACCACACAAAAGACCACATATAGCAGATGTACTAAAAACCCACTCAGAAGACCTTAGCAACTGCAAAGCATCACCTTGACAACCACCAAGAACCCTGCTGCATTGTGGCGGTGACTTCTGCATGGGAAAACACTCTCAAAACGTAAATCTAGTTTCAAACATAATGCTGACAGAGGATATTAAAGATAGCCTTTAGCACCTTTGCTGACTTATGGTCCATTTTTTGCACGCTTTGAAGAATCACTTCCTCATAAAATCAGAGGCACAAACAGAAAAAGAACATTTTAACACCAACTCTACAGAACTACATAGAACGTACAGCGCTAAACATCTTGACAAGAACATGTGTAAACAGGCTCCTCTTTGTGCGTTTACATTAGACTGCAAAAAAAGCAGAAGGAATTGTGGGAAGAGGCTGGATTTGGAGTCAGCAAGTGCTTTAAAGGGGTCATTTGACGCGATTTCAAGTTTTCCTTTCTCTTT